CTGAAAAAATTTTAAATTGAACAATAACGGCAGAGAAACTAACTCAAAAATTAATCTCGAGAAATTCAAGACGCAAGGCATAAAATCATATATTTAAAACGGCATTGCCAAATTTTAGGAAAAAATAGCTTCCTATCATATTATTCAATCGAAAAATCAACTCCACAGAGACATACTTTATAAAGAAAAAACTTTATTATTCAAGACATAGGTATGCAGTTAATTGAATGATCTGCGCTTGATGGTTGTAACAAATATTTTCTACAAGTGAAATTCTAAGAACTTCTATTTTAACGTGGCAGCAGATTCTGGTAGTGAAAACTAAAATATCTTTCTTCGAGGTGTTTAAAAATAGTCCACGCTGAATGAAACTCAGCGAGCATAAAATTTAGGTCTGAGTGTGCAAATGATAAAAATTCCGTAGTTCAAGGGTAAAGTACGAAGGTAAGAGCAATTATAACAATAAATTACGGTTGTGTGACCTCCTGTGGTTTACCTTAAGTACCTACCTCCTTCTCAGTGCTCACTGGCACAGCAGAGCACAGTATAGGGGATACTTCTTTACTAAGCATCCAACGGAAAGACAGAATGCCATAATAGATCATTTGTAAAAATCGCAATAAATCTTTCATCACATTTCTTTTTATATGATTGCACTTATAAGTACAACAACGTCCATTTCATACTGTTCACTGGTCAAGTCAGCTGCTCCTATTTATAGCGCAGTTCATATTGATTCTGAGATTCGTTAATTTCTGAGATGTGTCTTAATAATTTTGTATTAGATGTTAAAAAATATTTATCTTTTCTGTTGTACGTTTACCTGTTGTTGTTACAGATTTCTTTGAAGTAAGTTTCATCTAGCTTACGTTTGTTATTAGACCACTTAGTTAACTTTGGGACAAAACTTTACACATCTTTGCCGAGAAAACTGAAGTAGGGTGAAGACAGGGTGTTTGAAAAAGAAATAAGTCTTTTTTTCCGAAAATTAGTTAAAAAAAACTGCCATCTCTGAAAACAGCGGTATTTTACAAAGAATAAGAACTCCGAAAATGTCTTTTTAAGATGGCTTGTCATCGTCCACTAGGCACTGATCTGGAAGACTGGAGATGTGAAAGAACCATTAGCTACCGGAGCTCGTTTTGCTTGAAGAAGCACTCACTTTTCCTAGTCTATTTCCAGGCATCATTTGTAATGCGGCTTTTATAAATGTGTTCTCACCTCATCAGTATCATTGTATTTATCTTAGCTAACGTGAAGAAAGGAGATAAAATGTACAGGAAGAGCAGAATTAATTCTAGAACTTATAAGCTACATATGTGGATAATTTAAAAAAAAAACGCTCCCTTCTGATCTTAAAATCTGCATATTTAGTCATATCTTTAAACTAATGAACATGAATATACTTAAAAGCTTCTAAATGTGTTTTGATATATTAAATTGATATTTCACCAATGCTTTATTTACTTTCTTACAATACCATATATTTTCTATAATTTTGGAAAATATCTCATCAGCAAATGTTTCACATTTTAGGTTGCATTTTACGTTTCTCAGTCAACTTTTAAAATATTGCTTTTAAAATGTCCACTAATTTCTTTAGTTTATTTAATACACTTAAATGCCTTATTTATAAGTGATGATTAATAATAAAATGCTGCTCCCTTGGCCTTGATAACGGCTGCACAGATTCTATAGAATTTTCCATACGTAAGTCAAAGACGCTTGTGGTGGGACACATGCTTGAACACCTTTATCCAGATTACTCCAAAGGGTGTTCATTGTGATTTAAGTCTGGGCATCTGGGTGATCATTTCGGCATGAAGAGCTCAGTGGAGTGGTCATCGAAAGAAATGTTAGTCAACCGGGATCTGTCACAGTATTAGATTTTCTGTTGCTACATTCTATTTCCATCCGCCTGGCAGGATAAAGGGATGTAAGTGGCCACCCAATAGTACTTAGAGGTTTGGTAGAAGTATCAAAGGTTTCGAGATTGTCAAGACAGATAGATTTCAAGGTTGTCAAGATTTCAAGTATTGTCAAGACAGATAACATTTGAGCCACCATGATCTTGTAGTGTGCCAGTCTCGCATGCTGGATTCATGGCTTTATGGATTGGCGCCATATTCTTAGTTTATCATCAGCTTGATATAGTTGGGGTTCAGACCTATCACCTCAGGATACGTCCATTCGTTGGGGGGGGTCTAGTCACGATGTTTTATATGTTATGCAAGATGCATAGCCTAGTGGCTGCAGTGAAAAGTAGTACTCTGAAGTTCCTGTCCTCTGAAGTTCATAAGTTGAAGCGAGCTCTGCAAAGTCCGTCTACTGACGATCCTATTCGATTGCTCATTCAGTTTGATTGGTTATGAGAACTAAGGTTTGGTATTGCTGGTTATGTACTATGTAACTGAGTCTTCAACGATCATGATCATTCAGGGGGGTTGCTTGTCCTTTGCTGTTTTGCTGACAGCATTACTCTCTTTCCCGCCATCCAGGTACTCTTAGCATATTCTTATTCTTGATACTGTGGAACGAGTAAACCCCAATTCTCGAACTATTTCTAAAATAGTATGACCCATGCTTCAAACTGTTATCGGTTTTTGACGGAAGGCGTCTGAATTGTGAGGTTCTTCTATCACGCATCTCTTTATTGCAAAGGTGAGTATACTTTAAAACTGTAGGTGGCCTAAATTGAAAATTTACTGAAAGCGCTTAGTGTATATTTTATTTTAAATTCTAGACAGCCTTTAATTGAAACGTCTTTGCTGTAAATAGTAAAAACAGTCAAATAATAGCAAAAGAATTTATTGCATACATATTCACGCTACATCTATTTTTTAAAATATACAGACTTACAGATATTTCTTATTGATATTTATGAAGGGAAATTTATACTGATATCTCGCAAATACAAATTTAAATGTTAAAATTTTTTGCATGTTTTATAATACATATTTTCGTCAGAATAACAAAACGGTTGCAAAAGTAGTAGCCAATACAATAATATAATTTTAAAGTATGAATTTTTCTTATTGAAAAGCGGTACAGCCGTAACATCCATGCAATAAATTCAACTGCCATTAGTCGAATGATTTTATTGTTCCAGGCGAAAGGATATCTCGGGTATATAAAGCGCATTAAGTGCTTAATGTTAAGGGAAATTAATTTTAGTCACTCCATTTTCGATAACATTTATGTCAAAAACATAACTCACGTTTTCCAGTGAGACCCATTTCAGTTACCTTTACACAATATTTATTTTTGTTGTCATAAATTATGTGCTCGGAAGTACACGTTTATTTTTGGAACCTTTCTTCCCTGAAATTGATGGTGTTTTAATGTAAAATACAAAATGCAAAGTCATTTATCGCTAGTCATTATTATTACACAATATCAAGCTCTAAGTTTTTATTTAACTTATTCGGAGCTTAATTAGTCATAGAAAGATTTGCAAAGAACAAGTAACAGTTAAATGCCAGTAATAAAACTTCAAGAAATATACTTGGTTGAAATTTCAGTAAGGGTTTGATTGTACAGTAAAATATTTTATGGCTGTGTAATATGCAGCTGCAGAAACACACTCTTGTTATTAACTGTTTCAGTATCCTTTGGTATTTTTAGCATCAGGTAACTTATCCCTTTGTTGCTCAGTGTTCCACTATACGGAACACCCAACTTGAACCGCTTCTGAAACTGTTAAATTCAACCGTAAATGGATAAAAATGCCTTTATAATATACTTTGAACTTTTCTTTTAAAATAGTAGATGGCAGCATATCACAAGGAGATCCAGAATTTTCACCTATGGTGTATTATTAAAATCACCTTATTTTCAAGTAATTTTCTCTATTTTCTGTGACACACACACACAAAAAAATTGTTTGAAAAAAAATTTCTGTATAATTTTAATAGCTGTATTCTATATTATTTATTCTATATTTTTTAAAAATTTTTCATACAAAAAGCATGCGCAGAATCATTGAATAAAACAGGGTGTTCCATTAGCGGGAACACTGCGCCTTTAGCGATCTCATGCTATTACGCATCAGAACATCCGTTCTTAGGAGAAAACATCTGTTTATACGTTTTATGTTTCTGTTTTTTTTGGGGGGGGGAATGAATTCAAACAAAGCAGTATTGAAGGTGAGGTGTGGTTTGGACTATGAAAGCCCTAATATGGGCATCTTGAAATTTTTGTGAGTTCCGGCGGGAATTTTATCAGTAGCTCGAGTCATCCTTTTAGCAGCTCGAGTCATCACAAAACAGGGCCCACCAGCGGCCGAGCGGTAAAGTCGCTGAACACTGGTAGTTCGGTCCGAGGTTCGAATCCCGCGAACGGGCTGGCTGTATGGGTGTTTTCGTGGTTTTCCCCATATGTAACGTGTATACGAGCCAGTTTCCCTTAGAAAGTCCTCCACGAAGGCATCCCTCCCCCTTAGGCAGATAGCCCTAGTGTGCTTTGCCATAATTAAATACACCACTACACCACACCATCACAAAACAAGTTTTGGTTGCAAAACCTGCAAAGTTGGTTTGTGCTTCTATCAAAAAGGTGTGACATGCTTTGAACAATTTCATGAAGCTAAGAAATCGAAAAATTTGTAAATATTTTTTTTTATATAGGACTTGTGTATATACATATATTTATCTCATTTATCCATATATATTCAAGAATATTGTGTATATCCAGAAAACCATGTATACTGCCATAATGCATAGTTTTTTCATTACTATACAAAAGCTACTCATTTTCGTGCTTCACTGCAATGCTCGCGTAGCCGCACTTTAAGAGCTCTGGTGGCACAGTGTTCCACCTTATGGAACACTCACAAAATTAAAACGGTAAGTGCAATTTTTACAAAATTTTACATGTATACTCCTTTAGGCCTAAATAGACTGAATGCAACTTTTTTTGTTAAAATTCAGACTTTAAAGTATAGTGCGCCACAAAGGGTTATTTATTGAATAAGTACTTTATCAGCGCTTCTTCCTTTTCAGGTTCTCAAATGAAAGTGATAAAGAAATTTTGGATATATTGCTGCTTCGCAGTGAATATGACAAAAGAATTAGGCCACAAAGTAAGTTTCAGAATACAGTCATTATTACATGCTTTTGCAATTAACTTATTTATATTACTTTTTTATATATAAAGCGCATGACAATTCAGTGCGCTGTAGTACTTTGCTGAATGCAAAGTACTAAAGGACAAATACCTTCTTATTATAAAGAATAATGTTCCTAATTCATATGTTTTGTTAAAAGTTTTTATTTAACTTATTCGGAGCTTAATTTCTATAAAAAAAAGCTGATGATAGGAGATGCAAAAGTAACTCTAATAATAATAAATTATTCAATTAATAATGAACGGTTTAAATTACAAAATGTTTCGAGATTAAATAAATGAATAATAACGAACGGTAATACTGATAAATAAATAAATAAGGAAATTAAAGTGGTTAAATATAGTTTTGCGTGATACAGGTTCTTAGATATATCTCTGATAACTTCACACCATATGAACAATTATAAATTGACACTTTATTGTAATAAACCGCAGCCAGCGCAGCAAGGTGATAGCTTTAAGTACTCGAGAACAACAGAGATATGGCTAATTCTCTTTAATACGCAAAGAATAATGCAAGTCTCCAAAATCAGTCATAGAGCAAAGTCTAAACCAGTAATCAATAAAGAGAACCTCCCAATCGCACGACTTTGAAGTGAACTATGCAGCAAACCGAACTAAAAGTTCAAACGCAGCCGTATTTATAAGGGTAGGCAATACTTCTGGAAGCTTCGGAAAAAGTCACCTTAAATTTTACATTTGTAGAATATCGCTAAGTTGGCACGAAGTCATTAAACGTTTCCATCTTGGGGACAAAAACTGTCACCAAGGGACATCAGGAATGTTTACTCCTACATTTCATGTTCTAACTGAAATACCTGAACAATTCAAACGTTGATTGATTTAGAATTAAAAGATCTGAAATAAAAATTATTATTAGAATTAGCAACTTAAACAAGTAAATAAATAAAAACGATACTGAACACTGTAAAATGTAAAAATACCTAATATCCAAAATACAATAAAATAAACACAAACATTTATGTAAATTTAATACAGTATCATACAAATTAAACAAAATAATACGTATAAGGTAATAGATTATCGATAGTAATACATTATACCAAGGGTAAAAGAAAAATGAATATTTCGAAACACATTTCAGTTTTATTAAAACTATGGAGTATATTTTTCGTTTAAATATTTTCGAAAGCTGTTCCCATACACGAGAAAAAAGAGTTATGTGAAGATTTTACTATAGAAACAGAACCATGCAAATGTACAAATATTAAGCTTCATGACTATATCTTAATCAGTAAAATGTGATACAAAAACGTTTCTCAAATTGTTATTTTGCAACAATTCATAATCACATATTCCAGATGTAGCAAACAACATTCAAGATTTCAGATTTCTGTCTGGTTAAGCTTTATGCCTCATACATTTAAAAATATTTTATCTGGGTTACGACAGCTAATCATATTCACTTTCAAATGTTAGCGCTCGGCTTATGTTTGGTAATTATCAGATATTTCCAGCGTTTTATACTCTCAGGTGTTTGGCAGTATAAACTGGTTTTAGGTGCCACCGTGGCAAATTAAAGTATGTATATCATGTAAGGTAATTTCTTCTTACCATACAGTACTCTCTCCTTACCGCGGGCCACCGTGGTGCAGTTGGAACCACATTCGGCTAGCAATCACAAGAGCCAAAGTTTGAGTCCAGGCGAGAGCACTGCACATTTTCACCTTTCCTCTTCCAAAAAAAAGCCCACCAGCGGCCGAGCGGTAAAGTCGCTGAACACTGGTAGTTCGGTCCGAGGTTCGAATCCCGCGAACGGGCTGGCTGTATGGGCGTTTTCGTGGTTTTCCCCATGTGTAACGTGTATACGAGCCAGTTTCCCTTAGAAAGTCCTCCACGAAGGCATCCATCCCCTTAGGCAGATAGCCCTCGAGGCTTTGCCATAATCACACACACACACACACCCTCTTCCAAAAAAATCGTAAAGACTCTGCAACAGCAGCAGTTTTAGCACCGGTATAATTAAAACTCGTATTAAAGGAAATATGACGTAAATAACATTATTTATTTAGTCATTGCATTATTATTGTGATTAGATTAAGAGCAAAGATATTCCAGAATATTTAGGGCTATGGTGCTTTGCAGGTGGAATGAGAAATTTTATCCACCTGCAAAGCTAAGATAACTGCAAAGCTAAGATGGAGCTAGATTCCTGTAAGCTTCTGATGAATTTATCCCTCATTTTGCTCTCATATGTACGACTAAGTAAACTGTAGTGTACAGAATGTTTTGCATTAGTTTATTTAGTACGTAATGCAGTTAGCGTATACTATAGTTTATTAAATGTTGGTAATTTCTTAACAGTCCGTTATTTACAAATTACGCTTGAGAGTATTTATGAATGTTACGCGAATCCTGTTTTATACGAAGTTCGTCATTACTTGCTGATCCTACGGTAATGTAACATACAAATGTGTTGCAACCCCCCTGGCTGAAAATAATCGGCCTCATGGTTAACGCAGGACACCCAACACAGAGAAACAAAAATACAGTTAAAAGATTAAAAGAGAAATACAGCTAAAAACATTAAACCAAAATTCTCAGTGTTGGTCCTTTTAAAGGACGACTGGGGCTTTTAGGGGACCCAATCGCCAAATCCTTGGTGTGGAGAATCACCATCCACCACTCTTTTAGTTCGGGTGTCACTGTAGAAACATTAGGTATTTTGAAAGCAAGAGACTCGAAAAAGGAGCAACGCCTTCGCCGGGAATCAAGCCACGGACCATTGGAATACGCGCCCAGCGTGCAGATCACTGCACCACGAAGGCATGCTAAGAAGGTGGGAGAAATACCTTATAAATTCACTGGCTGGAAAAACCTATAAAAATTACCGATTTCTTAATTTCGTTTTTTAACAGTTGAGGATGATGCCAGTTCTTTGTTTACACTTTTTATGTATCTGGTACTTAAATTAAATTAAAAAAAATGATTTTATTTGTGAGCCGCTAGTTTCTTTAGAAGAAGGAATGGTTAAGTTTACGGATGTTTCCTATTAATGGCTATAAAGGGGCTTTAAAACAGTAATATTTCTTTCATGTACATTTTAAAGTAATTAACATAGTGTACCATTCAAACTTTTTAAAAATGATTATTAGAATTTCTGTAGGGGATCGCTAAGAATCATATTGCAGGTGGCGGTGAGAACGCCTATATAACAGGGCGGCCAGTTTGTTTCAGAGAAACGTTTTATGAGCAATACGAGCACAGATTACATTCTTTTCTTTATGGCGTTAGATCTCTGCCTAAGGGGAGGAAGGCCTTTCTAAGGGAAACTGACTCGTATACACGTTACACATAGGGAAAACCAAGTAAACGCTCATGCAGCCAGCCCGTTCACCAGATTCTAACCCCGGATCGAACTACCAGTGCTCAGCGACTTTACCGCTCGGCCGCAGGTTGGTCTCGAGAGGTACACTGCTCGACATTGAAAATGCAACACCAAGAAGGAGTGGTCAGAAAGTGATGAAATTTGGAAAAAAGACAGAGACAGCAAGCAGCAATAAGGCATCTTTATTTCAAAATGATAGTCATAATACAGAGCGAGAACGGCGTCGGCTCAGTAGGATAAGCGATAAGCGATAAGAGACGGAGGACGTGACCACTACCCCTATACTAATAAGTTAATTAGAATAGTGCCATGCCCACCGTTATCTAGAGTTTGACCAGAGGGCCACATGTGCGGCCCGCACAGGACGCTCAGACCCAACATCTGAACCAACCGGTTGGCAGTTCTGCGAACCAATTGCCACCTTAATACCACCGGGCACACTCCCGTCCAAATTGCCCGGGTGCAGTATTTATTGATTTATTAACAATAGATGCTACATGGCCATACAGGGGCGTTTAAAATTTACATATGCTTTGGAATACATAATTGAGAAGGGTACATAATTGTGCATTGACATTAACAAAAGACTGCAAGCGATCACAGATGACATCACGTGACATTGATAAATACAGTTAATTGAGCGATGGCATTGACAATAGACAGCAAATGATCACTGATGACCACATATGGCATTAATACATGTAGACATATTTTCATATGCATAAATATATCACGATTTGCATAACTAATACTGATATTTGAGGTTACACACTGTTACGTACAGAGTAGTAAGCACTGAGTGCGATTACATACTGACTCTGTATTATTTATATACAGGCCAGCACTGATACTGATATTTGGATACTTGCATTTGTATACTGATACACACAATACGTTTTCACTAGGAACGATAATACACTGATATCTGTGTCTTAAGCATAACGTATGCATACTTTCCAGTGCATGAATATTACAATTGACACAACTTACACTGATATTTGCGATTACACACTCTTACATACAGTTTACTAATATACATGTGGTTACACACTGTTACATACGATACTCGGTGCAATAAGCGCTTATCGCTTACCACACCGAGTGCTATAACGCTCTGATACTGGAATGTTTTTAGAATGTATATATACATCCAATACATTGTAGAATTAACATATCTTTTCTTACATGCTTCAGCGTGGCTGTTACATAACTTACATGTTGCTGATACTGATGGATATGGAGAAAATAACATTAACGGTGATTACAGTATTTAAGTATACATTACACCACATACAAGAAATTTGAATACACTATCTATAAGGAAAACGTGTTTTACACAGTTCATAAGCGTAACATATGCATACTTTCCAATGCATGAATATTACAATTAACACAACTCACGCTGATATTTACGATTGCACACTGTTGCATACAATTTACACATATATATATGCGATTACACACTGTTACGTACAATATAGAATACACTGAGTACTATAACGCTTTGATACTGGAATATTTTAAATGTATATATGCATCCAATACATTGTTGAATTAACATTGTAGAATTAACATACCTTTTCTTACATACTTCAGCGTGCCTGTTA